GTGCACACACATTTACCTGCATTGTTATCTTGACCATGGGAGCCAATTCTAATACATGCCAACAATAGAGAAATGTATGATCATGAGAGAATGGAGTAAGGCTATAGAATTTGTGACTATGTATAAGGGCTCTTCACCAAGTGTGTGCACTGTACTTTATGGATTTTATTTGTGAATTTTTCCATGATATGTTGCACAAAGTCGCAGAATGTAAACATGACCAAATTAATGTTTTGGATGGATTCTCTGAATGCTTGCTCCCGTTTTTCAGATAGCATAGAACTTCAGGTGCAGAACACTCAGAGATAAGGCTAGGTAATTATACAAGACTGTCATAGCAGCCATCCGTAGATTAGACTGTAATCTGAAGGTGGTCCACAAGAAGGTGAAGCTGATCCTCTTGTGATGGTATCTCGTCAGTCTAACGGATCATTCATTTAGAGGTGTTGATGCTTTTTTGGTGGTATTTCATCAACCAAACAGATCATTCATTCAGATATGCCTCCAGCATTCAATTTTTATTTTCACTGAAAAGTTTTGCTGGCATCAAAATATTTCATTTGTAATCATTTTCACCAAATTATCTCTTCACTGCAACTTCATGACATGTAAATTAGTCGTCTCGAAGTGTGACACTTGAATTTATCTACTCATTTTTAGTCAATCTTCAGCACTGATTTAAATCTTTTTAAGAGTTATAATGCTTTATTTGTTGGTAACTATAGGTAAATTCCTTTTTTGCTTGATTGCTAGATTTTATGAACTTTCCCCATGGTGTAAGAAAGAAAATCCTTTTATTAGCTTTGGAATGTTACATTTTGATTTAATTGCTTTGCTGAATGTATGCACAAAAAGAATTTCAGTTTCTCAGTGTCAGCAGGGAAGGTCTCAGTTGGTGGCACATTTCTTTAACGGGTTCATGGATACTTATTTTCCCGTTGCAACGCACGGGCACATTTCCTAGTAGGAATATAATGAGGGGGTGGGGGTCCAAGGGGAATTTAGGCCCATCAGATTTAGTTTTAAATACTGGCATTGTGACTGAAAGATCATTTATATTGTTACAGAAAAACTACCGAATGAATGTGGATTTCATAGTTAGAATTGCAAGAAAATTTATATGAATGTGCTATATTTAAAAAAATGTTAGCCTTCAACCCTTTTGCCACAGAACAAAGTAACCACATACATACAAATCTATATAATACTCGTACTACAGGCAGCTAGTTTAATTTATGTATGTGCAACAGTTTCAAAGTCTGGCTATGGATCTTCAAAGAAAGGATTATAAGCTCTAGGCATGATATTGAGAAATCTGGAAAGGTTGTATAACTTAAATGTCAATTATACTACATAGGATAAATAGTTGAACTCTAGGCACCATACCTCTATTTATGCTAGAAGGCAGAAAGATTAGAAACACCCTGCAGATAATCAGAGACTTAGTCTGTATTCGCTAGAAACAATAGAAAATATGCAAATCCTATATCCATACAGAATATCGACTTATTTTGTTGGCTAACGCGGGGTATGTAACATAGAAAAACATCTGAAAGCCTCCTGCAAACTCCAAACCAAACTGGCCAGCTGTATCATTTTCTTTGAAGGTCAGGTGTTTCATTATGTTCATGTAGCAGCTCTGGAATACATGGTGTCGCTCCAGGATGCATAGTAAGGCTACAGCAGTCAGTAGAAGAAAATATGAGGAAGATGGGCGAAGCCACACATACCAAAGGAGCACAAGATTGCATGGAGGAGAATTCGACCCAAAGCCATCCCCAAGGTGCAGGACCGCGACGCCGTCCGGCACGTCCCCGAGACCCCAGCGCCATCTTGAAAATAAACCGTGAGGGCACCTTGCATGCCAAACTTACTTCAGAAAAGGCATTGGTTTCAAGAATCCAAAGAACCGATCGCCCAAGGTTGCAACATCTGAAAAAATGTCAGATAAGCAAATTCGGTTAGAGCACAAAAGAACTATAAAAACACAAAATCTCTCAGTTTTGTACAGATCAATGGCATATTTAGGTGGTTTGCCATGTTTCTAACAGAATTCAGATTCAACCAAAGGAGGTGCATGACAACTGCATTTGATCCACTTATTAAACTCGGTTGTACTTTCTAAAATATTAAGTGGCACGTTATGACTTGCAGAAGTGAGCTATTGAGGCAGTAGATAAATTGTATTGCTATGGGGCAATATGGATAGCAGTACAGGCAGACTTTGCACAAGTGGAATCATATATGTCTCCTCCCGTGTGTTGACCAGCTCGTCACAAAGCGGACTTGTGGTAGTAGCGGGATCGACTGTCTGCCAGGCCTCCAGGAACAGCAGGTTCTCCTCATGAGCGCAGACCCTGCTTGGGTGGGTCTCAAAACCACAAATCAGCAAGGATTGAAGAGCAGGTCATTTTGAACCAAAATTTCAAGCATTGGCTTAATTGAACAGGGGCAGGGAGCGGCAGTAGCTGGCAATTACAGTGACACGCCGAGCATCATCCGCATGATCGCGTGGTGACCGAGACTGGGGGCTGCCGGTGGAAGGTGGCGCTGCAGGTCGAGCGGGGCGGCGCTCCGGTGGCGACGACGGCGGGGCCCGGTTGGATCCGGGCGGATCTGTCCAGGGTGGATCCATTTCCGGCGGATTTGGCGTGGAGGCGGCCAGATCCAGCGAGATTGAGGTCCAGCGGCGCCATGGATGTCCTGTCCAGCGAGAAAGAGGAAGAGAGGTGAGAGGAGATCGAGAAGGAGGAGAAGGGAGAGGGACGAGGTGGCGGAGCGACCGGAGATCCAGCGGGGAAGGTCGCCGGCGGCGGGGCGTGGCAGAGGTGTGGGGTCGCCGGCGAGGCGGCTTGCGGGCGCGAGGGGAGCTCGCGCAGGAGGGAGCTGCAGGCGGCGGCGCGGTCCGGTTCGGGCCCAGGATTAGAGGGGTTTCTTTGTAAAATTGAACCGTTATCCACACTTTAAGTAGGACTGTGGGTTAATTTATTAGAAATAGGGGGACTTTTTTGCAAAACAGCCGGCGACGTACGTGTGGCACTTTACACTAGTAAGTGTGCACGTGCAATGCACGTCTTGTCAGAATTCAAAATTCGAATACTTTAAAGCTTAAATTTTCAATCCACATATATGTGCAATGATTTCAATACATTCCATAAACTCCGTGAGTTTAAATTTTTGATGAGATCTCCTACAATATACCGAGATTTAGTACATCATCGACATCTATCCCAGTTACCACTCGGATAGAATAGTTATACAATTCCGAAGACTCTTTTTCGGTATTACCGAATCAATATCCAGGGCATCCTACCATCTACTGGCCTCGTGCACATAAATGAGCTATCAAAATTCCATATTTGAATGTTATCAACCTTGTCACAGCCCCTTCACAATTTCACCTAAAACAGTCTAAACCCCACAATGAAAGTGTGAGAAGACACATGAACTGAACAATCTCTTATAGATTCTTCATTATAAGATGGCAAGGTCTCAAATGAATTCACAATTTAATATTTGTTCCCGAAGAAAAGCTAGGAAGCAACCAGAAAGTAGTGAGATAAAATATAACACCGAAAAATAAGTGCCAATAAGTGTGAAGATAAAAGATCATAGTATTACCTGATGTTTTTCTTTTTTCTACAATTACCACTAAGCTTAAAGAAAAGATGACTTAAAGTTCCGAGTACATTAGTCAGCAGGCTATTACCGCTAGCTCATAACATGCTACTGAATCTCAGGTCACAGCCATTAAGATTGTACAGATTATAGAGTAAAGCAACACCTACAGCACATTGATTCAAATAATTTCATGTACATCTTGTCCCAGAAGCTTGCACTGAGACCTTGAGGCTTCTTCAGTCAGGTTGCATTTCAGACGCATCTGAGTTTTGTTTGGTTTTCAGCACATGAACCAGTTGCAGCACCGGAACCGGGACGACATGCGCTCGGTCTTCCAGATGCGCTCCACCTGTCGCGCCAGCCAGAGTGCCCGCCAGTTCTACCTCGCCTCGACTCTCGCCTGCTTCCCCTCCACCTTGTGGCCCAATGGGGACAGTCTCTTGGTCATGTTGTTCTTCGCCCGTGCCCTCATTTGACCGGCCTGCACCTGACATATATTTGCACAATTACAACCAGCTGAGATTTGTTTCACAGTTTTGTTAAGAGTTCAAAATTTAGAGCAGAGTTGGTTAAGAGATGGCGTGGCGGCTCCGGCCAGAGTGTCGCTCCTCGACTACTCCTGACTGTCGATTGGCGTCATCTCTGTGCCTACGCCCCTCATCGACACCGATGACGACAACTGCGCTGCTGCTGGACGGCCTGCCTGGGTGCGGAGCATATATGTCGATTCGGTAGAAGTTTTTGCTCTGCCGGAGATGGTCGACTTAGGAGGTTACATTCTATGCGTCATTTTAGTTGATTCTAAATTTGCAGCGGCGTGTTTAATTCCTGTTGGCTAGAGTTCAGAAGATATTATTGCCGGCCATCAGAATTTTTCAAAAATAACACAAATAAGGTTTAGTACAAAGACTATTTTTGAGTTATTCACAGGAAAAAACAAACATGTGCCTTGTGCACTAAGTTCATGTTGCAGGATAATAAATTGCCTTTAATAATAAGTTCACTGACACTTCAAAGAAATGCCATAGAACTATGGCAGTACTATGACATACTGAGTGCGTACTAACAAATGAACTTTCACTATTTTCATCCCATCAAAAGTTCAAATAACCAGATCATGACACGTAGGTCAGAGATAGACAAGAAATTCAAATGAGTAACAAACCAATAAATGATTCAAAAAATGTAGAAAGTGCCTTTAAAATTGTGTTATAACTTATAAGCCTCTCTAACAAGTGGCACCTCCATCATGTGGGCCAAAGGATGGATTTCGTACAATGACAAATAACTTCAATCTTCTCACAACTAAAAAACACATGGAAAATGATAATGAGAAGTACAAATGATATTCACCTTACTATATATCATATTGAAGGATTTTACTGTTCCGATAAACGATTGCAATGTTCCCTCAACTTCGGCTCTGTCTCGGCATAGTCTTTGTTCGGATTATAGTCATACTGGGCAGTAGAGACTACCCTGTTAGTGCAGATATGCATGGGAATTTCAGATAGAAGTGTATAAATTGATTTTGAATATATGACCAAATCACAACTGTGTGAATAAGGAAATAAGATCCAGTGCTAAATTTATACCTTTGAGGCTAGCTCCTGAACCATCTGTTGCAGATATGACATCTTTTTGTTATACTCAGAGAGCTTCAACTCTAATTCTGCTATACCAGGCCTGCAAAATGATAATCAAACTCAGTGAAATGGTGTTTTTTCTTGAAATTGCTTGTCAACTGGGGGTCACAAGACGGCAACATATATCATACCATTTCTAAATTATATGGTTGCTAGAAATCTGCGCCTTCTAAATAATACAATTGACAAAAACATCGAATTGGGTGCACTTACAGGGGGGTAAATTGATTGTATTTGGACACCTTCAGGAAAATATAATGAGAAAATAACTAAACATTGGATGATTTAATTTGCCAAATGTCTGAAAGAAAGGACATGAAGCAAGTATGCATGGCCCAGTAAAACTACCTAAATTAGCCTAACAAGAGAGAGAACTGAAAAATGCTCAATGTTAACTTGAACTGACTTACATTTTACTCGATGAAAGATGACACAGATTCATATAAGCTTCTAGTAAATGCACACAGAAAAGGGGATAATCTGAAACTAAAAGTAAAAAATTACATGCAAATTGTACTTCCTGCATATAGGGGAAACCGTTCAAACATCACATTCGGCTGTCAGCAAAGAACTATGTAATAGGTAAGTGTTTTCTACCCCAGTACTGATAGTACTTGGTAAGGAAACAATAGTACAAATAGAGGAACAACAAACTTCAATCCAACTTGTGAGAAGCATGGGCTTGCATCAACCATCATTGAATCTTACCAAAGAAAAAATCAAGCCGGGTTCAAACAAAAGCACATGTCAGAACCTGCATATAGTGGCATTGAGAGAGACAGAGGGGAAGTAAGAAGGATTGGTAGAGAGAGAGAGAGAGGAAATAACGATATGGAGAATCTCATCTTGGCGTCATCCGCCACGCTCGACATTGCTTACGCACATGTCACTGCCCAGCCATGCCCGTGGTCCTGACCGCTGCTCCCGCCACTTGTGCCGGTTGCTGCGCCATTTTCATCGTGGCCACACGTCCTTCGAGCTGCCGCCCGTCAACATTCGGGGTGACGGAAACATGGGCTTCCAAATGCTAAATGAGGATTGCTCCTTCAGATATAGTCAGCAGAAAAAGTTGAAAAAACATATACCGAATGAATAATGCATGAGATTCTCCAAGTAAATATGTTATAACATTACACCTTATGACAATACACTTAAACAATCAACAGCAACATTACACCTTAGGGCGGCTGTAGGCTGGACGCGAGGCAGCTGGGCCGAGGCGAAGGCTAACGACCCATGGGATGAAGCGGACGTGGGACGCAGGCGCGGCCTCGCTCGATCCCGTGCGCGTGGAGGCGGCTGGAGATCGTTCGGGGCGGCGGTGCTAAGGGATCTTGGCTGGTGACGAAGACCAGGACGGACCAGGACGCCGGTGGAGCAACGGGAAGCTGGGACGGCGGATACGATGCGGGCTCCACGGATCCGTCTGTTCCTTGCCGAATCCGGTGGCAACGATGGCGGTGCAGAGCATCGGGGATCCGTCTGTTCCCTGCGCTCAATGCACCCGACTGCCGCTGCCAGGCTCACCGACATCGGCCTCGCTAGTGCCTCCAATGGCTTCCATGCCGCCGAGCTCGGGGCCATCGCGGCCGCGTCCCCCTGCCCCCGGTGGCCATGGCGTCCTGTAGTTTGGGAACAGAGAGAGATTAGTGGGGAGAGGGGGAGAAAATGAAGGAGGGTGTTGGGCGCGGTTGACCGGCTGAGGAGGTCGGCGACGGCTTGCAGGAGCGCGAGCGACGACTGGAGGCAGGGTCGACTCGGGTGGATCGGGGGGAAGTGCACAAAAGGAGGAGAAGCGAGGAGCGGCGGCGCCGTTTTTCTCGATCTGGGAAGAGAAAGAAGGATCGGGGAGGCACGATTCACTTGGAATCGGCCCGAAAATTAAGGAGCTGATCGAGGATGCGGTTGTTTCCGCTGTGCGGGCGTGCAAACGCCAGAGTTTTCGTCCGCCCTGAAACATGTTCTCTTGTTTAATAATACTAGCAAATATGCCCGTGCGTTGCAACGGAAGAAAAAATTACACGTTGGTCAATATCCGACATATGAATGTCCTCTATTTTAACACGATGGCTCACCATGTTGCCAATTATCTTTCTTCTCACTCTCGTTGATGATGGATGCAATATCCACGTGATCGCAATGCATTCAACGTGGTAAAAAATGGGCTTGTCACTGTACGACACACTTGTCATTGTCTCGCGCAAGGGAATGTTTTGAACTTTGAAAACAAATCTCATCGACCATGGACTACTCGCCAACCCCAAGACATATAAAGAATTTCCAAAATTAATCAAATCCTAGATATAAAATACATCTGAATAGGAAGAGTTTTTTGAATCGACAAACATTCTTTTTAAATTTAGACATTTTTTTAAATTCACAAACATTTGTTTTTTAGACGAACATTTATTGAAATGCCTGAATAGTTTTTGATTTCATGATGACTCAGATTCACAAATATGTTTTGAATACACGATCATTTTATCAAGATCATGAACTTGATTTTATTTAACGACATTTCTTTCCAAATTATTTTTATAATTTGCAAATATTTTTGTAAAATCAGTAACATTTTTTGAAACCACGAAAATTTTATGATTTCCTGAACTTTTTTGAATTCACACACATTTTATAATTTCTGAAACAGCTTTTTCAAACTCGCAACTTTTTAATACTTGAAAATCTCAAATTGATTTAAAGAAGGAGAAAACAAAAACAGAAGTGAGAAAAGAGAAGACCAGAAAAAAGAAAAAAAAACAGGGCATTAAGTCCGCTGGCTGGCCCATGTAGGTGGGAATAAGTCATGAGAAAAAGGTGGAGGAAAATATTGGTAGAAGCTGGGGTTCGAACCCTCGCCTACAGGGCAGAAGACAATGCATCAAGCCACCGCGCTGCTACTGCGTCACTGCTATTTGTTGGATATTAACTCTATACAAACTCTGGAAACGACGGCGACTTTGAAAAGAAAAATCGAATCGTTTTCTTCACTTACGGGTGGCATAGCGGGTAATTTCTAGCAACTTCGGGGGGCGATTTTTGTGACGTACGGGCAGAAGCAATATCTGCTTTATTAGTAGTACGTATAGATATAGATATAGATAGTGTAGAAAAGCGAACGAAACTCTGCCATCGAGCGAGCGGACGAAACGTTCCACTGCGCGACAAAAAAAATTGATCCGCGTGATTAATGGCTTGCATGCAACGGCATGGCCCACGTTCAGCAATATTGCGTTCACATGCATTGGTTTGGCCTGCGGCAGCGCATCTTCAGGATAGAAGGAGAGGAGGAGAGGGGAGGAGAACGAGAGGCCTGGCGGCGGCTGAGGAGGTGCTCGCCGGCGAGCGTGCTCCGGCGGCCGCCTGACGCACGGGGTTGGATCGGGAGCGGCGAGTGGCCGATTCACCTCCTCGCGAGCCCATTGCCCTTCAAAGGTTCAAGATATGGTGCCGAGGACGAGCGGCCGATCCAGAAAACCAACCCCGATGGATTGATTCTTCATGAAGATACGCGCATACACAAAAAGCACACACCCAGGCAGCTGGATGGATTTTTCTTTGATGAGCGCACACACAGGGGAACTGTGAGCTGCCTGTGAAACAGCTTTGGCCTCACCACCAAGGACGGAATCACGGAAAGGCCAGCTTCATCCGAACCGACCGCAAGGACCATGCTCAGGTACACGCATATACATATACCAAGATTGATATTGACCGATGCTTGTGGTTGCAATTTCATGTCCGTCGGCGATGTATAGATGCTCATGATGAGCTAAGGGATAATAACGTGGGAACGTTCCACCGCTCAATTCTTACTGGATGAATCCTTGTAAGTAATCTATTTTCCCTACCCCTCTTATATCTACACGAAATTCAAGTGTGGTACACATGTGAGTATGATCTGCTTCCCTCTGTTGTACACATGTGGTTATTTATTATTGCTGATTAAGAATCAAGAGCCACTACATTCTTGAATATTCAGACTCTGTTATTTGGTTCAGGTTAAGCTTGATAAATGCAATTTACTTTTTCGTTCCATCTGACAATTTAGTTGTATTATTGATTTTGGCAATTTTCAGGAATTTTGAGGCGTCTTTGGATTTTAGCTTCCTCAATCATTCTGAATTATTTAATGTTAGTATGAGGTACATGCATGTGACTATGAGGTCATGGGTTCAAGTCCTGGAAACAGCCTCTTACAGAAATGTAGGGAAAGGCTGCGTACTATAGACCCAAAGTGGTCGGACCCTTCCCTGGACCCTGCGCAAGCGGGAGCTACATGCACCAGGTTGCCCTTTATGAGGTACATGCATGTGTTCCCAAGATTAAACCCGAGAAATGTGTAGTTGACCACTTGGTATGTTTGATTTCTTTAGTATATGCAGCGAAAACCACCATTGGTCATGATCTATTCTAGAGATAGATTATTAGCAGTGCAACATCCCTGTCGGTTCAATCAAATAGTTCAGCCTGGTCGGTTCTTACTAATATTTAAGCCAGCTTCAGTTTTTAGCCTGCTCGGTCATTCTGGATTATTTAGTTTCAGTTTTGGGTGCATGTCTTTCATAGAACAACAAACTGATTTTAGGTGCTAAAATAAACAGTAAACGCTACTTCATCATGTCGACTATTTGTAGAAAGACCATCCCTGTGGAGGAGATCCCGACTATCGATGTGAAGCCGGGGTGGAAGAAGGGCACGAAGAAGATCTTCCTACAGGGAAGGATCCGATTTTTCCATTGCAGTTATGTGTTTCAAAAGGCTATTCAGATGTAATTTTGTATATTAACACTATAGTACTCCACTATAGTCTATGAAGTTATATTTACAGATTTTTCATTTTTCTCATAAGACGAGGCACCATTTTATTTTAAAATATTTTTCTGAAGTAAAATTTGCGAATAAATTGCATGATGTTTCATGTGTGTGAAACTGTGAATTGCACTTTAGCTAAAAAAATTGAGATAACAAGGTGTGGAGGATATGAATGGTTGTGACTTATGGTGTTGCCCGGGGAGGCGACGGCGGCGGGGAGCAGCGACACATCGGCGGACAGCAACAAATGTGTAGCGCGCAGCAGCAGCGGTTGCACGTCCACAACGGACGAGCAACAACGCCAAGCAGGTGCAGGTGGGGGTAAGAATAAGTATAACTTGTCATGTTTAACTCATGGCTATCAAAGAGTAAGGATCACTTGACACTCACTACAGGAAGAATACATGGCCAACAAATAGTAAGGATCACTTGACACTCCCTACAGGAAGAATACTGCTGTGAGGATTATATACATTATATGTTCCACTTAGTTTCTCAGTTAGTATTAATTTCCTATCACTTCCCTTTTTTCTTGTAGGCAAGTTTTGAATCTAGACTTTGATGAGAAGTTCATCCATATATGGGAATTTTACCTTATATGTCCTGCCTCTGGTTTCACGTCATGACTAGTTAGAAAGTACCAGGTACGGATGTATAACCTATCTGAACTGTAGAAAGCAAGTTTTCATCGTTTGAGACTGTAAATAACCTAGG